ATCTCCTACCCCTCAGTCGCATCTTCTACCCCAGTCTCATCTCGACACCCTCAGTCGCATCTCCTACCCCTCAGTCTGATCTCCTACCCCTCAGTCGCATCTTCTACCCCAGTCTCATCTCCTACCCCTCAGTCGCATCTTCTACCCCCCAGTCTCATCTCCTACCCCTCAGTCGCATCTCCCACGCCTCAGTCTTATCTCATACTCCTCAGTCGCATCTCCTACCCCTCAGTCTGATCTTCTAGCCCTCAGTCGCATCTCCTACCCCTCAGTCTAATCTCCAACCTCCCGGTCTCATCTCCTACCCCTCAGTCCCATCTCCTAGCCCTCAGTCCCATCTCCTACCCCTCAGTCGCATCTCCTAGCCCTCAGTCGCATCTCCTACCCCTCAGTCTGATCTCCTAGCCCTCAGTCGCACCTCCTACCCCTCAGTCTGATCTCCTACCCCTCAGTCTGATCTCCAACACCTCAGTCGCATCTCCTACCCCCTCAGTCGCATCTCCCACGCTTCAGTATCACCTCCCACCCCCAGTCCCATCACCTATCCCGCAGTATTACCTCCTACCCCTTGCTCTTACCTCCTACCCCTCACACATGCATTAATAGCTGCTACAGACTAATAGCACGAGGTATACATGTGTTCGCGATGACAAAGACGTTACTGCACTACTACTGTGAGTAGAATGAAAACTTACTTCTGTGGTGGAAGGTTGGCGAGCACAACATAGTTGTTTCGAACGCTCCTTAGGCTCGCAAGGATCTGAGCAAACGGTGTCACAATCAAGTCATCTCCATGTCTGAAAGAACAACGTTCCAAATTTACGGTCATCTCACGCATCGTGCGTTTTCCTATTCTTCTCGTTACATTCAGCATGTTTTGAATACGTTTTTATGTTTACAGAAAAGCACATAGTATGTGTCCTGCCAAAATATTCCAAAAAAGCACAATTATTATAAATGTACACTTACAGTAGTAATTTACATTCAGTCTTTCTTTCTCACTGAGATAACCACTTACCTGTCTACCAAAAAACACATTTTTATATATGAGAAAGATATGGCATTATAGAACAACAATTAGATCAAATTTATCTGAATTTTTTTTCTATATTTAGCATCAATATGTCACTTGCATATCTATATATAGGTTGTAAAATGTATTCAGATGTAAATAATTGAATGTCTAATAATTAATGCATTGGCTGTTTAATAATTATGCAAAGTATTTTTAAATGGATTTATGAATTTATAAAAGATAATAAGGTTAAGCTTGAATAAAAACCTCTTGCTCCTGATAATGGCAAGATAAATATGCAGTTTCAATAACAAACACTTAGCAAATTGACGGATACCAAATTAAGGTTATAATTACTGATTTGCTGTTCTGTGATTCCTGTCGTAATTAAAACAGTGTATGTAAAGTACATTACAATATACTACCAGATAGCTATATTTATATAATACAAATACAAGTGTACAACCACCTGAAACTATGAATTATGTAATGTGTGTATGCACATAGGAAATACATAAAAATTATGATGCCATTTCATGCTAATCAATCTTTTCCAATTTACATTTAATTTTAAAATAAACCCTTTAAACCTTTAGCCCATTTCAAATGATATATAAGCATAAACTTTGTTACCGATAGCATGACAATTTTCGAAGAGTGCATGAGAGAAACATTTATGCCTCTCCTCTTCAGTGTAAAAGAGATGTAAGACAGATATATATTCATCAACCAACAGGAGAGGGTGAGCATTAAGCACAGTTTGACGCCCTTGTATAAACACGTGATATGCTTTACATTGCGAATATGCATGTGAAGACTGTAGGGGTTTATTATTTGGAATATCATAAAAATGGGTGCACCACTTTCATGAGCAATGATTAAATTCCTTCCCAATAAGCTTCATGAAAATTCCTGTCATCATGTCTCTTTATTCGTTTTTATACAGTGTTCGGGTAATACGTACAAATGTCCATAAGCTTAGATTTATTACTAGTATTAAACTGACTGCTAAAATGACGTGGTTTAAGTAGAAGGTGATTTCTGGTTTTATGAGTGCTCAATTTATATTATTTTCGGATAATAAAATTCCTTCCAATCTCTCAAGCACATAAAAAACTTTCATTTTCCATCAGTCATTCCTCACTGTCTACTGAACGTTTCTTATTCTGCCTTCTTCTTTGCTAACCATATGTGTCTTGTCTATGGCCAACATTGAGGGAATGTGAGCTGCATACTCACAATGACTTGCGTTATGAGACGGATGAAATGTGCAGTGCCTGTTTGTATAATCGATTTATCATCGAACCATACACACACAGGCTCATAGGGTCTATGTCCCCCAGGGTACTGCCGGAACGTACCCTGGTAACTATTTGGTATGGTTAGGGTTAGGGTTAGGGTTAGGGTTAGGGAGTAGGCGTAGGCGACTCCCTAGACTCGTTAGTGGAGTAGGCGAGGTACGGTCCGGCATATTAGATAGTACCAGGGTACGTTCCGGTACCGGACCGTACCCAGGGTACGTTCCGTCAGGACCCTGGGGGACATATACCCTTTCAGCCACACACAGAATGATATTGCTTGGCAGGAAATGGGGAGAGGCAGAGAGGGGGGACACATATCAAATTCTGGCGGCCTGGATATACTACAAATGTATTCAAAATAACCGGAAAGAAGTGCGTTTGTGAAGTCTTAGAACTCACGTATAACAAGTACGTTCACAGGCATTTTGAACATTTCAATAATAAAATTATGGTAAATAAATACGAAATGTATTTACTACGAAAGTCTTAATGTTTCTCTACTCTCTTTCGCCTATTATTAGTAATAATTTTCTGTGCATGCATGCCGTTCAAATGCTCCTTTGCAACACACAATTTCACTGCACGCAATTAAAGCCACATAAGTACTGTGCACAAACAACAAAAATATAGAGAATAGCTAGGACAGCTAGTGTAGTAGTTATACACTTTTAGTTACCGCGTTCACACGGTAATGGTTTGGCTCGAGCTAAATGGGCTAAATTTGGCTCAGGCTAAATTTGGCTCGGGCCGGTTTGAGTCGGAGCGTTCACACGTACCATAGATACTACCCTTGGAGTAGTATCTATGCACGTACGCAAGTAAATACTGTCTGTCAAATTCAAATTCAAATTCAAATAAATTTTATTGCACAAATATCGCACAGATACTGTGGCAGTATGTAGCGAGATGGCGTTGTGTACGATTCAGTGTTTACTTCCGTTCCAAGTTCAACCTTTCAATCTTGAAAACATGCATCCTGATCAAATTTTTCGAATTTTTATACTGTTTTGGACTTTATTTCGTCGAAGTACACGTTCGAAACTCGCGGCATCTACCGCTCTACCGATTTAGCTGGTGCTAAAATTTGGCTCGGGCCTGGTCAGACGTTTTCAATGGGACCAATTTGGCTCGTGCTAACTCGGTACGGCCCCGAAAAACCGTCCGTGTGAACGCTCGGCTCGAGCCAAATTTGGCGCGGGCCTAATTAGGCTCGGGCTAAAAACGTCCGTGCCTATACTGTATGTACGTACTCTACTGTACATGTACATTTCTGTTGTTTGTGCACAGTGGCGTGCACGCTGTGAGATTGCGTGTTGCAAAATAACATTTGAACGGCATATAATTTACGTGGAATTATTTGTCGATAGAGAATACATAAACATGGTATGGCAATCTGGTAGAAAATACATTTCGTGTTTATTTACCATCATTTTATTATTGAAACGTTCCGATCGAGTGCCTGTGTCGTATGTCGTACCTATGCCTATGCCTATGGGACCATATAAAACACAAAACACTGATTATATTGCCTTATTCTGTCCTTCAAATAACATTCTCCATGGTCACAATTATCCATAAACAATAGAAGGATCTTAAACCACGAAATGAGTCACATGAACGCCAGATAAAACAGTAACACCAATTCCAATTCCCCAACTTGTAATTTGTAAACAACACCGAGTCTGCAGTGGCACTCTCTAGTGTAGCGGAAATACCTTTAGAAATAACGTCGTTTCTATGGAAACGTGTATACAAACGATCTCGCTTTATTTACATGCATATATACCTTACTGTCATAAAAATTAAGGTTAAAAAGAAACGCATGAATGACGACCAGTTTTTTTTTATCGTCTAAGCGCAGTAATTAAACCGTAAATTGGAACTGCACTGCGACGCCATCATGTGTTCATCTTTCCCCCCACGTTTCACTCTCCAGGGCTTTATTCCAAGATAGGATGACGTGGCCATGATAAACAGACATGAGTTTATCTGGGAATACGTCCGCGCATCTAATGCGATACTCCACTCGTAGCTTGTTCACCACCACGCCCACGAAGCCCTCATTAAACAACTGCCCGCCTAATGAACGGCGCACCACCGCGCGTCTCTCCCGACCGTGAGGCGCTGCACTTACACTTACGTCTTACACTTACGTGAGGCGCTGCACTTACACTTACACTTACGTCTTACACTTACGTGAGGCGCTGCACTTACACTTACACTTACGTCTTACACTTACGTGAGGCGCTGCACTTACACTTACACTTACGTCTTACACTTACGTGAGGCGCTGCACTTACACTTACACTTACGTCTTACACTTACGTGAGACGCTGCCAAAAGCTGATGCGCTGATGGGGAATGCGCAGCATGGACGTGCTGTAGTTGCGAGGCAGCTTTGCCGACTTCGCAGACGCCATCTGTGGTAACTCGCGCGTCTGCTCCTGTTTGATCGCCTGCATTAGCGGGTCGGACGTGTTCGTCACGAGAGGGCGTGCGGGTTGGGGGCACGGCGCCATCTGCAGGGTGGTGTTCGGTAGCGGGGCACCTGAGCTAGGCATCGGGTCCCGTTGCCCGCACCTCCGCGCACAGCACAGGCTAGACCAGCAGCAGCACATGCGACAGAGTTGTCATCGAATGACGTCGGTCGTGTGTGTATGTCATCCGTGCACAACGTCGACAATCATAAAGATGTTGTCGACCGTTCGTTATGTATTCTTTCGCGTGTAGTATCGGTGGTTCCACAGATGCACAGATGCGCCGTTCACATACACACACCCTCGCGCGCGCGTGTGGGACGAAGGCAACCTACTAGCAATGTATACGCAGTCTCGCTTGCCACATTTCGCATTCGGGATAAACGGACGTGTAAATAAAATACCTGAAACCCAACAGAAAAATGACTCGCTCAGCGAAAGAATCGCCTCATTGTGTAGATCTCTATGCTAGCTTATTTTCCACCCACCAGTGTGTACTAGTAATTAACTACGCTGCAGCCAACGCGGACAAAATTCGAGCGCATTAGCAATAGCGGATTTTAAACAATAAATTTCGCGAAACACGCCATGGGGTTTGTTGACATTAATGCCGTCACGGCTCAATAAATATACAGCACAGCCGAAAGGAAAAATTATAATTACGTACAAATTGGATTTGCTGCGCTACATTTTTCATCGCTCACGTTCAGCTTTTTATCAAACGACTAAAAAGACTCGGAAGCGCATATACTGATTCCAGGTCGCACGTACCCGTGCGTTTGTCGACTGTCACAGCGACTTGTGTAGTCAGTCTCATGCAGCCATACATTTTAATTATTAGCATGAAAATTTAGAATTATCTTCATTACTTTACATAAACTCATTAGATTTTATTAAATTAGCGCCGTGTTTTCGTGTACCTTGTAAACACGCACATACGTAGTGAAAACACTTACATATAGGTAGAGTAAACACTGGCACATCTTATTCTAACAACGGCATGA